TATATACGCATTCTTTTAGTCCTTTACTGTCTTATGGTCATATTGCAGATGATTTATAGACAAGTAGTCTCGGATAGATCTCTTTCAGGTCATCCCTCATGCTTGTTTTGTGATCAGCGTTTCTTTGACGAAGAATTCAGATATAAGCATCTTCGTAAGGAGCACTTCTTCTGTCAATTTTGTGAATCAGATGGGAAACATATGAATGTTTTCTTTAAGTATGTACACGTTCCGCATCTAAGAGATTTTTAACTACTTTACATCTTCAGGGATCATGGAGAACTTGTTGCTCACTATAAGGCACAACATTTTCTTTGTGATTTTGAAGAATGCAGGACTATGGGAATTGCATTCTCCAATCAAGTTGATCTGAATCTGCACAAGGTCATTATTTTGTTGAACATTTTAACAGAAAGAAATGTTTTCTTGTAGTCGAAAGAGCACAGCAATCGTCGTATGGCTGTGGGCCTCGACTTTCAATTCAGTGATCGACAACTTGCAGGACCATCACGGTAAGTTCGATTTGAGAAAAATTTAGGTTGTGTCCATGTTACTGTTATCAGTTCCCGACGTGAGCCTCCCGCCGCTACACCGATTACACGTGGGGACAAAATTGCCGTTATCCCGCGGGAGGAACCATCTGCTCCAAAACGGTAATATCCAAAACTTCGCCCAAGTTTCGATATCTGTGTAACCATTTCATTTTGTAATAAGAGCCAGTTATGGCAAAAGTGTATTTTTTCTTTGCTCTCAACCGAAAAGGAGTTTTTTCTGAAATTTTTAATGAAATTTTGTATGAAGGAACACAGACGAGTTTATGGTGGTACCTTCGGCACAAAGTAGTAGTCGCACTGTTCGTTACAATGTTGCGCCAGCATATACCCCACAAAATGAGGATTTCCCTTGTTTGGCACCGCACATTGCTAGTTCGCGTTCAGATCCTGCTTTGACGGTACGTTTTATTCCATTGTTATTGATATCGCGTAATTTCCTGCACGCTCGTCATGTATTAATATCTATATAGTTACGATTCAGACATTACGTCCTGAAAACTTCCCACGCTTGAATCGTGTTAATGTTCCCGCTGGGAAACAGTTTCAACAAATTGGAAATGCATCAGCTGAAAGTCCTCACCGTGAGGCAGTGCAGTCTACATCACGACAACCCAGAAACCCTGCTCAGTGAGTTCTTTCTTTAA